GTACTCAGTAAAGCAGTACTCAGTAAAGCAGTACTCAGTAAAGCAGTACTCAGTAAAGCAGTACTCAGTAAAGCAGTACTCAGTAAAGCAGTACTCAGTAAAGCAGGTTTCAGTAAAGCAGTACTCAGTAAAGCGGAACTCAGTAAAGCAGTACTCAGTAAAGCAGTACTCAGTAAAGCAGAACTCAGTAAAGCAGTACTCAGTAAAGCAGAATTCAGTAAAGCAGTACTCAGTAAAGCAGTACTCAGTAAAGCAGAACTCAGTAAAGCAGAACTCAGTAAAGCAGTACTCAGTAAAGCAGAACTCAGTGAAGCAGTACTCAGTAAAGCAGAACTCAGTAAAGCAGAACTCAGTAAAGCAGAACTCAGTAAAGCAGTACTCAGTAAAGCAGTACTCAGTAAAGCAGTACTCAGTAAAGCAGTACTCAGTAAAGCAGAACTCAGTAAAGCAGAACTCAGTAAAGCAGAATTCAGTAAAGCAGTACTCAGTAAAGCAGTACTCAGTAAAGCAGAACTCAGTAAAGCAGTACTCAGTAAAGCAATACTCAGTAAAGCAGTACTCAGTAAAGCAGAACTCAGTAAAGCAGTACTCAGTAAAGCAGAACTCAGTGAAGCAGTACTCAGTAAAGCGGAACTCAGTAAAGCAGTACTCAGTAAAGCAGAACTCAGTAAAGCAGTACTCAGTAAAGCAGTACTCAGTAAAGCAGAACTCAGTAAAGCAGTACTCAGTAAAGCAGAACTCAGTGAAGCAGTACTCAGTAAAGCAGTACTCAGTAAAGCAGTACTCAGTAAAGCAGTACTCAGTAAAGCAGTACTCAGTAAAGCAGTACTCAGTAAAGCAGTACTCAGTAAAGCAGTACTCAGTAAAGCAGTACTCAGTAAAGCAGTACTCAGTGAAGCAATACTCAGTTAGGCAGTACTCAGTAAAGCAGTACTCAGCCAAGCAGTACTCAATAAAACAGTACTCAGTGAAGCAGTACTCAGTGAAGCAGTACTCAGTTAAGCAGTACTCAGTAAAGCAGTACTCAGTTAAGCAGTACTCAGTAAAGCAGTACTCAGTAAAGCAGTACTCAGTAAAGCAGTACTCAGTAAAGCAGTACTCAGTAAAGCAGTACTCAGTAAAGCAGTACTCAGTAAAGCAGTACTCAGTAAAGCAGTACTCAGTAAAGCAGTACTCAGTAAAGCAGTACTCAGTAAAGAGGAATGATGTGAAGGCACGTGTAATAGCAAAATAAGTGTATTCAACAAAAATCACTAATACACAATGACTTACGCTACGTTATGTTAAGTTAGTGTCACATCAACACCTACAGTGTCACATCAACACCTACAGTGTCACATCAACACCTACAGTGTCACATCAACACCTACAGTGTCACATCAACACCTACAGTGTCACATCAACACCTACAGTGTCACATCAACACCTACAGTGTCACATCAACACCTACAGTATCACATCAACACCTACAGTGTCACATCAACACCTTCAGTGTCACCTCAACACCTTCACTGTCACATCAACACCTTCAGTGTCACATCAACACCTACAGTGTCACATCAACACCTACAGTGTCACATCAACACCTACAGTGTCACATCAACGCCTACAGTGTCACATCAACGCCTACAGTGTCACATCAACGCCTACAGTGTCACATCAACACCTACAGTGTCACATCAACACCTACAGTGTCACATCAACACCTACAGTGTCACATCAACACCTACAGTGTCACATCAACACCTACAGTCTCACATCTACAGCTACAGTGTCACATCAACAGCTACAGTGTCAAATCAACACCTACAGTGTCACATCAACACCTTCAGTGTCACCTCAACACCTACAGTGTCACATCAACACCTACAGTGTCACATCAACACCTTCAGTGTCACATCAACACCTTCAGTGTCACCTTAAAACCTTCAGTGTCACATCAACACCTTCAGTGTCACATCAACACCTACAGTGTCACATCAACAGCTACAGTGACACATCAACACCTACAGTGTCACCTCAACACCTACAGTGTCACCTCAACACCTTCAGTGTCACATCAACACCTACAGTGTCACCTCAACACCTTCAGTGTCACCTCAACACCTACAGTGTCACCTCAACACCTACAGTGTCACCTCAACACCTACAGTGTCACCTCAACACCTACAGTGTCACCTCAACACCTTCAGTGTCACATCAACACCTACAGTGTCACCTCAACACCTTCAGTGTCACCTCAACACCTACAGTGTCACCTCAACACATACAGTGTCACCTCAACACCTACAGTGTCACCTCAACACCTACAGTGTCACCTCAACACCTTCAGTGTCACATCAACACCTACAGTGTCACCTCAACACCTTCAGTGTCACCTCAACACCTACAGTGTCACCTCAACACCTACAGTGTCACCTCAACACCTACAGTGTCACCTCAACACCTACAGTGTCACCTCAACACCTTCAGTGTCACATCAACACCTACAGTGTCACCTCAACACCTTCAGTGTCACCTCAACACCTACAGTGTCACCTCAACACCTACAGTGTCACCTCAACACCTACAGTGTCACCTCAACACCTACAGTGTCACATCAACACCTTCAGTGTCACATCAACACCTACAGTGTCACCTCAACACCTTCAGTGTCACCTCAACACCTACAGTGTCACCTCAACACCTACAGTGTCACCTCAACACCTACAGTGTCACCTCAACACCTACAGTGTCACCTCAACACCTACAGTGTCACATCAACACCTACAGTGTCACCTCAACACCTACAGTGTCACCTCAACACCTACAGTGTCACATCAACACCTACAGTGTCACATCAACACCTACAGTGTCACATCAACACCTACAGTGTCACCTCAACACCTACAGTGTCACCTTAACACCTACAGTGTCACCTCAACACCTACAGTGTCACATCAACACTTACAGTGTCACATCAACACCTACAGTGTCACATCAACACCTACAGTGTCACCTCAACACCTTCAGTGTCACCTCAACACCTACAGTGTCACCTCAACACCTACAGTGTCACCTCAACACCTACAGTGTCACCTCAACACCTACAGTGTCACATCAACACTTACAGTGTCACATCAACACCTACAGTGTCACATCAACACCTACAGTGTCACATCAACACCTACAGTGTCACATCAACACCTACAGTGTCACATCAACACCTACAGTGTCACATCAACACCTACAGTGTCACATCAACACCTACAGTGTCACATCAACACCTACAGTGTCACATCAACACCTACAGTGTCACATCAACACCTACAGTGTCACATCAACGCCTACAGTGTCACATCAACACCTACAGTGTCACCTCAACACCTACAGTGTCACATCAACACTTACAGTGTCACATCAACACTTACAGTGTCACATCAACACCTTCAGTGTCACATCAACACCTTCAGTGTCACATCAACACCTACAGTGTCACATCAACACCTACAGTGTCACATCAACACCTTCAGTGTCACATCAACACCTTCAGTGTCACATCAACACCTTCAGTGTCACATCAACACCTTCAGTGTCACATCAACACCTTCAGTGTCACATCAACACCTACAGTGTCACATCAACAGCTACAGTGTCACATCAACACCTTCAGTGTCACATCAACACCTTCAGTGTCACATCAACAACTAACAACAATGGAAACCCGTTCTGTCTGAAATGTTGTGCGTATTAGTGGTTTAGCAAGAATGTACAAATACCAATCTTATGTAATCTCATCAACCCATTGTACCTTCTTGTGAATAAATTATTATTGATTATTATTACCCTGATGGCCCTGTTCACCTAGCAGTAAATAGGTACCTGGGAGCAAGACAGCTGCTACGGGCTGCTTCCTGGCGGGGTGGGGGGGGGGTGAGTGTCTGTGCGTGTTAAGAGAGAAATATGTGTATAAATAATAGAGGAAAAATATATTGGTTAGAAAGGCGGAGTCCAAGAGCCTATTGTTCGCTTCTGCAGATACAAATCATAAAAATATAATAATGAAGTTAACAATCTGTCACTAAGACAATTCCAACACAAGTGATTATTTTAACTCTAATTAGTACTTAATTAATTTTCACAAATCAATGTCACCAAGACAGCACACAATTATTTATGTTATCACTCTCATTAACATTCATTTAGTTTACGTTATCACTCCAATAATTATAACGAATTATATATTTCTTATTCTATCACAGAGACCAAACAACAACAAGGAAAGGCACCGTTGATTAATGAGAATTATTAAATCAAAATATTCAGAACGATTAATGACTAATTAGTTGATTAGTCAAAACGATTAATGAGAATGCGCGTGTCGCTTAAGACTTCACTTATACCCACCAGACTCTGTACAGTACTTTACAGTGCACTACTTACTTATGTGCCACTAAGACACGCGTAAGTGAACAACTTAATGTCACAACACAGCCTTTGTCACCAAGACACTGTTACTGGACAAGATGGTAACACTCCTCAACTGACATGTGTACATAACGCGGCTGTCACTCACTAGTGACATGACACACCCTCAAGTGTCACATACATTCCCTCCTCACCGAGGTGAGGAGGGAGTGTATAATAATAACCCTCTGGAGGATGATAGGTCTTAACTATAACACCAAACTAGACCTGCCTCATACCTGGTTGTTGGGGTTCTGGGAGTTCTACTCCCGAAGCCCGCCCCAAGATCAGGGTCGACTTTTGAGAATTTGGTCCACCAGGCTTGGGCTTGGAGTGGACCGCAGCCAATTCTAAAATATATATTTTATCCATTAACAAGCACATCCACATATAATTTACAACCTACTCTTTAAAACATATATTTCACACAACATACAACAAACACCAATATTAAAGACTTTAAGAATAATTGGTGACTGTCCTTGATGATAGTGGAGTTATCACAAGGTGGTGGGGGGGGGGAGGGGGGGTTCATAATCAATAGTTTGACTAACCTTGACAATATATTGGAGTTATCACTTGAAGAGCCGTCACCACCAATGTCATCCACCACCATCGCCAACACGGATGTCGAGGGTGACTGATCCACATCTTATTGACGTCAGTAGTACATCTGAAACAAAAGTAACATATAAGTCATCATGCTTGATGTTGGTGACGTACTGACGTCAACAGTAAAGCTGTCACAACAGTCACCAATGAGTCACCACGCTTGATGTTGGTGACGTACTGACGTCAGCAGTAAAGCTGTCACAACAGTCACCAGTGAGTCACCACGCTTGATGTTGGTGACTTACTGACGTCAACAATAAAGCTGTCACAACAGTCATCAGTGAGTCACCACGCTTGATGTTGGTGACGTACTGACGTCAACAGTAAAGCTGTCACAACAGTCACCAATGAGTCACCACGCTTGATGTTGGTGACTGATCTATAAGACAAGCGGCCGCCTGATTCATCCCATTTACCTGAATGATAATATTTATATTATTTGATCAATGTGAGAACACCGGCCAGAGATCTACAGTAAACCTTTAAAATAAAATGTCCTTCTGCGTTAGGATCGAGGCCAGACCCTTAGCACTAGCATTACCCAACTTTGCACCATCATATCTGTAGGGTATATGCCCATCATAACCAGTACCTTAAAAAAGAACAGCATGACATGGTCACATACTGAACCCCACTATGATTCTGGCATTGGCCACATTCCAGCATCTGGCTTCACACCTTTAAAACAGCAAATTGGAAAACCTAACATTGTTGTAAAACATTATGCACTGATCTCAGGAAAATTAATATAAATTTTCCAGTCATACTTTGCCCACAGCAGTAAATATACGAAACTTTTGATGAAGCCAACTCCGCTAAGGTTCCACCCAGCCGTCTGCTGCTCCTCAGGCCCGGCCACACAACACTCACCCATCCACCACCTCCACACCGCCTCACAGATCATGCACGTACCAACTGTGATCTATTTTATGCTTTGTATACTTCATTAATTATAAAGATTTCCCATAGACATGTTTAATACAGATATGACGTTATGACCTAGAGTATTACATATTTAGAGAAATGACTTTGTCGTTCCAGCATATGAGTAAGAGTTAATGATTAGTGGTTTGCGAGTCAGCAGTATTGAGACAGTGTTGGTCAAAGAGAGTAATAGGGGTCAGATCCTGAGGTTAGTTCACGCCAGGCTGGCAGTTGACTGCTGATAGGTTGACGGCATCAGGTCAAGATCTTGGTCAGGGCAGAGTGAGTCAAGCAGTGTTCAGGTGACACTTGGCTGGAGGTTAAGACGTTGACATGTTTGAGTGTCACGAGCGGGACATGTGTGGCCACTTGGGTCAGTCCAGCCAGGGCCTCAGAGGAGCCATAGTCAGGGCCTCAGAGGAGCCATAGTCAGTGCCTCAGAGGAGCCATAGTCAGTGCCTCAGAGGAGCCATAGCCAGGGCTTCAGAGGAGCCATAGTCAGTGCCTCAGTGGAGTCATAGCCAGGGCTTCAGAGGAGCCATAGTCAGTGCCTCAGAGGAGCCATAGCCAGGGCTTCAGAGGAGCCATAGTCAGTGCCTTAGAGGAGCCATAGCCAGGGCCTCAGAGGAGCCATAGCCAGGGCCTCAGAGGAGCCATAGTCAGTGCCTCAGAGGAGCCATAGCCAGGGCCTCAGAGGAGCCATAGTCAGGGGTCTCAGTGGAGCCATAGTCAGGGCCTCAGAGGAGCCATAGTCAGGTCCTCAGAGAAGCCATAGTCAGGGCCTCAGAGGAGCCATAGTCAGGGCCTCAGAGGAGCCATAGTCAGGGCCTCAGAGGAGCCATAGTCAGGGCCTCAGAGGAGCCATAGTCAGGGCCTCAGAGGAACCATTGCCAGGGCCTCAGAGGAGCCATAGTTAGTGCCTCAGAGGAGCCATAGCCAGGGCTTCAGAGGAACCATAGTCAGGGCCTCAGAGGAGCCATAGCCAGGGCCTCAGAGGAGCCATAGTCAGGGCCTCAGAGGAGCAATAGCCAGGGCCTCAGAGGAGCCATAGCCAGGGCCTCAGAGGAGCCATAGCCAGGGCCTCAGAGGAGCCATAGCCAGGGCCTCAGAGGAGCCATAGCCAGAGCTTCAGAGGAGCCATAGTCAGTGCCTCAGAGGAGCCATAGCCAGGGCCTCAGAGGAGCCATAGTCAGGGCCTCAGAGGAGCCATAGCCAGGGCCTCAGAGGAGCCCTGAGTATTTTTTCAATGTCTTCAGCAGAGGAAATTTTCATGCATCTTTATGTGTCATCTGCAAAAGATTATACGAAGCTGTGACTTTTATTTTTGTCTATATCTGATAAGAGAATAAGGAAAGGCAGTGGTACAAGGACTGTACCCTGAGCTACAGAGCTTTTAACTGCCCTTGGACTCGATTTTATTTGGTTACTCTTTGTGTTCTGTTCCTCAGGAAATTGAGTATTCAGCGTCCTACTTTACCTGTTATTCCTATTGACCTCATTTTGTGTGATATCTGTGTGATATTTGTGTGATATATGTGATTGTGTGATATTTGTGTGATATAAATCCCTTGAGTGTCATACCTTCCCTGATATCCTTAAAAAAAGCAAGAGTAACGCCAGTTCATAAAGGAGGTAATCCGGCAGACATAAACAATTATAGACCAATATCGAACCTACCCATACTATCAAAAATATTTGAAAAAATTATCTATAAACAGCTTTACTCCTATCTCGTAAAATTCGACATTCTTAGCCCCCTGTCAGTTTGGCTTCCGCTCCCAAAAGAGTACCAACGACGCAATTATTAGTTTCCTTAATATAATTTACTCAGCCCTTCACAAAAATGAGTTTCCAATTGGACTCTTCATTGACCTGAGAAAGGCCTTTGATGTTAATCACAATTACCTCTTACGTAAACTCCATTATTATGGAATCCGAGGTCGTGCACTGGACTATATCCAATCCTATCTTAGTGATAGACACCAATGTGTAGCCATCAATAATAAAACCTCTCCCACTCTACCAATAACCGTTTGAGTGCCACAGGGCAGCATTTTGGGACCTCTCCTATTTCTTATATACATCAATGATCTGCCTAATGTCTCTAACATTCTGAAAACTATTTTGTTTGCTAATGATACTACCCTCATCTACTCTAACCCCAACCCACATACACTAAATAATGTTGTTAATAATGAACTAAAAAAAGTCCACTTATGGATGTCAACCAACAAACTAACACTTATGATTGAAAAGACCTACTACATCTTATTTGGAAGCAAATCTACAAATGCAATTCAGCTTCAGATAGACAATGTAAACATTAGCAATAAAAATTATGGAAAGTTTCTTGGCCTATTCCTAGACAAGAGACTCAACTTCAGTACCCGCATACAACACATAACTAAGAAAGTCTCTAAAACCGTTGGTATACTCTCCAAAATCAGATATTATGTACCTAACTCTGCTCTCATCTCTCTATATTATGCAATAATCTATCCCTATCTTAATTATGGTATCTGTGCATGGGGTTCAACCACTGCAAACCACCTCAAGTCCATCATCACCCAGCAAAAATCTGCTATCAGAATAATAACAAATTCTGCTTTCAGACAACATTCAGCCCCCTTGTTTAACTCCCTAAACATGCTAAACATAATCTCACTCCACAAATTCTCTTGTGTCAACTATATTTACAAAACCCTGTTCTTAAATGCAAATCCTGCTCTGAAACTCTCCCCGGACAGATGTAATAGGACCCATTATCACCACACCAGAAATAAATATCTCTTTGATATCCCCAGAGTCAAACTTATTCTGTGTAAACACTCTATGCAAATAAAGGGGACCCAGTCTATGGAACTCACTCCCTATTGAATTGAAAAGCTGTCCAACTTTTGCGTCATTCAAAAGCAATACTAAAAAGTACCTAATTTCATCTTCATAGTTTTTTACCTTTTGCTTTAAAATTGCACTGTATCTATTGCTACCCAATCTCCCAATCTTTATGTACCCAATCCGAACATCTTTACCATTGTGATCATTGCTGTCTTCTTATATGTGCTGTCAATCTGCTGTATGGTGTCTATTAATCTTGTTTAAATTACCAATGAAGTTGTCAATGTAATCAATCAGAGCTTTAATATACCAATGTGCTTTAATATACTTACTAATCTCTCTCATCTCATTTTTTTTCTTGCAATGTATTTGTTATCATTTTATTAATTCTGCTAGAATTTACTTACTTAAAATTATATGTTAGATTAAGGACCTGCCCGAAACGCTGCGTGTACTAGTGGCTTTACAAGATTGTAAATACTATGCTATGTATTCTCACAAACCCAATGTACCTTCATGTATATAAATAAATAAATAAATAAATAAATAAATAAATATCACTCCATGGTCACATTTGTCAAATGCCTTTACGAAGTCCATGTATACTACATTTGCATTCTGTTCTCCTTCAAATGCCTCAGGGATTTTATCGTAGTGATCAAGTAGCTGTGTAGCTGCGAAAGGCATGATCTTCCCGCTCTAAATCCATGTTGGTCTGGGTTGTTAAAGGTCACTGGTCTCCATGAAACTGGCAACCTGACTCCTGATCACTCTCTCAAATACTTTTATTACATGGGACGTTAGTGCAACTGGTCTATAATTCTTAGCCAATGCTTTGCTCCGTCCCTTGTGTAGAGGGATTATGTCTGCTGTTTTAAGCGTATCTGGTATGTCCCCAGTGTCCAAGGTCTTCCTCCACACTATACTGTGTGGAGGAAGTGTTTGTATAAATATTGGATTCCATGAGTCTGGACCTGGGGCTGAATGTATGGCCATGTTGTAAAATTATCTTTCAAAATCTGCAGCGATATTTTCATGTTGATATCAGTTATATTTTCAGGAGCTTGGACATCACACATAAAGTTATCCGGATCTTCCACGTTTATGTTGTTTATTGGCGTGCTAAACATGTTCTCATGCTGGGTTTTTTTTAGGATTACAATAATATCTTCGTCAACCTCTGTGTATGAACTTTGCTTGTAAGAATAGGTCCAATACCGACATTGATTTTTTATTTTTATTTTGCTTATGTGAAAAAATAGTTTGGGCTTTTCTCCATCTGTTGTATGTCTTTCTGTT